CCTGAGGGAATTCCTGGGTATTTTTGGATGGGAGTTGGGAATCTGAGGTTTCCAGTGGTTTGGGGTTGGAATTCCCAGCCTGAAGGAATTCCTGGATATATTTTGAGATGGGAATTTGGAACCTGAGGGAATTCCTGGATATATTTTGGGATGGGAATTTGGAACCTGAGGGAATTCCTGGGATTTTTTGGGATTGGATTTGGAACATGAAGAAATTCCTGGGTATTTTCAGATGGGAATTGGGATCATGAGGGAATTGCTGAGGTTTTATGGATGGAATTCCCAGTCTGAGGGAATTCCTGGATATTTTAGGCTGGGAATGGGGAACCTGAGGGAATTCCTGAGATTTTTGGGTGCCATTCACTTGGATTTCATTCCCCAAATCCTCAAAAATCCCCAAAAATTCCCGGGGATGTCCCCGAGCCCTCCTGGGCAGGGATTTCCTGGGAAAAGCCGCCTCATTATCCCTGGGGCGTTAATTAGAGGGGGTGAAGCCGGGGTTAATTAATGCTAATTAGCCCTTAATGAGCCGGGGGTGGGGCTGGGGGCGGGCCCTGGCTCCGGGGTTTGGGAGCTTTGGGGTTGGGAGCAGCAATTCCCAAAGTTTGGGGGATTTTGGGATCATTTTCCGAATTCTGGATTTGATTTTGGGATCTTTTCCCAAGGTTTGAGAGATTTGGGGATCCTTTCCCAAAGTTTGGGGCATTTGGGATCTTTTCCCAAGGTTTGGGGAATTTTGGGATCGTGTTCCGAATTCTGGGTGTGATTTTGGGATCTTTTCCCAAAGTTTGGGGCATTTGGGATCTTTTCCCAAGGTTTCGGGCAGTTTTGTGATCCTTTCCCAAGGTTTGGGGAATTTTGGGATCGTGTTCCGAATTCTGGATGTGATTTTTGGGATCCTTTCCCAAAGTTTGAGGAATCTGGGGATCTTTTCCCAAAGTCTGGGGGGGATTTGGGGTCATTTCCCAAAGTTTGGGGGATTTTGGGATCATTTTCTAAATTCTGGATGAGATTTTGGGATCCTTTCCCAAAGTTTGGGGGATTTTGGGATCATTTTCTGAATTCTGGATGAGATTTTGGGATCCTTTCCCAAAGTTTGGGATGGTTTGGAGCAGCATTTCCCAATTTTTGGAGGGGATTTTGGGATTATTTTCTGAATTCTGGATGAGATTTTGAGATCCTTTCCCAAAGTTTGGGGGATTTGGGATTGTTTCCCAAGATTTGGGGTGGTTCTGAAATAATTTTCTGAATTTTGGGGGTGATTTTGGGATCTTTTCCCAAAGTTTGGGGCAGTTCTGAGATAATTTCCTGACTTTTGGATGTGATTTTGGGATTCTTTCCCAAATTCTGGGGTGGTTTGAGCATCGCTTGTTGAATTTTGGGGTGGTTTGAGCGTTTCTTGTCAAAGTTTTGGAGAGTTTGAATTTCAGTTCCCAAAGTTTTGGGGTTTTCAGCTTCGTTTGTCAAAATTTGGGGGGGTTTGAGCATCAGTTGTGGATTTTTGGGGTGGTTTGAGCGGAATTTGTCAAATTTTGGGGCTGTTTTTCATCCCTTGTTGAATTTTGGGCTGGTTTGAGTTTTGTTTCCTGAAGTTTTGGAGCTGTCGGAGGAGATTTGGTGAAAATTTTGGGATTTTTGAGCATCACTTGTCAAATTTCGGGGCTGTTTGAGCGTCGCTTGTTCCAAACTTTTGGGTTTTTGGGGTTTTTGCTCCAAGTTTTGGGGTTTTGAGCTTCAACTTTCAGATTTTGGGGTGGTTTGAGCTTAATTTGTCCAATTTTGGGGGTTTGAGCCACACTTTTGGGGTTGTTGGGGGGTCTGGTGTCAATTTTGGGGTGGTTTGAGCATTTCTTGTCAAAGTTTTGGGGGGTTGGAGCTTCAGTTCCCAAAATTTGGAGTTATTTGAGGATCAATTCCCAAAATTTGGGGTTATTTGAGTTCAATTCCTAAATTTTTGGGGTTATTTGAGGATCAGTTCTCAAATTTTGGGGTTATTTAAGGATCATTCCCTAAAATATGGGGTTATTTGAGGATCATTTCCCAAAATTTGAGTGTTATTCCCAAATTTTGGGGTTATTTAAGGATCATTCTCAAATTTTGGGGTTATTTAAGGATCATTTCCCCAAAATTCTGGGATTATTTAACGATCATTCCCAAAATTTTGGGGGTATTTGAGGATTATTCCCAAGATTCTGGGGTTATTTAAGGACTATTCCCCAAAATTTTGGGGTTGTTTAAGGATTATTCCTTAAAGTTTGGGGATATTTGAGGTTCAGTTCCCAAAATTTGGGTTTATTTGAGGATCAGTTCCCAAAATTTGGGGTTATTTGAGGATTATTCCCAAAATTTTGGGATTGTTCGAGGTTCAGTTCCCAAAATTCGGGGTTATATGAGGATCAATTCCCAATATTTGAGTGTCATTCCCAAAGTTTGGGGTTATTTAAGGATAATTCCCAAATTTTTGAGTTACTTCAGGATAATTTTCCAAAATTTGGGGATTATTTCAGGATTGTTCCCAAATTTTGGGGGTTTTTTAAGGATTATTTGCAAACTTTTGGAGTTTTTTAAGGATTATTCCCAAAATTTTGGGATTATTTAAGGGTCAATCCCAAAATTTGAGCATAATTCCTAAAGTTTTAGGGTTATTTAAGGTACTGGAAGAAAACTGGAAATTTTTATCCCAAATTTCCTGGGATTGGAATATTTGGGATTTTCTGGGAATTCTGTGCCGTTTTCACCTAGAACTGGAGGAAAAATGGGAATTTTCATCCCAAATTTCCTGGGATAGGGTGAAAATTTGGGGAATTCCAAGGGAAAACTCCTGGATTTGGGGGAATTTGGGGAATTTTCCTCTTTTTTTTGCCATCCCTGGGCTTGGATTTGGGGCTCCACCAATTAAACCCAGCACTAAATGTTAATTAATCTGGGGTTTAATGTTAATTAATCCGGTTTTAATTAATCTGAGGTGAGGTAAACCGAGAGTAAGGCCCTGAACCAATTAAACCCAGCACTAAAATGTTCATTAATCTGGGTTTTAATGTTAATTAATCCGGTTTTAATTAATCTGGGGTGAGATAAACCCAGAGTAAGGCCCTGAACCAATTAAACCCAGCACTAAATGTTAATTAAACCCGGTTTTAATTAATCTGAGGTGGAGTTGGGCTGGCCTGAGGAGGGGAGGATTTTGCTTCCTTCATTTTCTGGGGGTTTAAATTGTATTTTTGGGGAGATTTTGGGGCTAAAATTGGAATTTTGGGGCTGGAATTGGGAATTTGTGGCCAGAATTCGGATATTTGAGGCTTGAATTGGGGATTTTGGGGCTGGGATTGGGAATTTTGGGGCTGGAATTGAGAATTTGTGGCCTAAATTGGGAATTTCGAGGCCAAAATTGGGCATTTTGAGACTGGAATTGGGAATCTTGGACTAGAATTGGGAATTTTGGGGCTGAAATTGGGAATTTTGGGGCCAAATCTGAAATTTTTCACTGGAATTGGGAATTTTAAGGACAGAATTTGGGAATTTTGAGGCTGGAATTGGGAATTTTGGTGCCAAAATTGGGTATTTTTCACTGGAATTTGGAATCTTGGACTGGAATTGGGAATTTTGGGACTGGGATTGGGAATTTTGGGCTGGAATCAGGAATTTATGGAATTCCCTTTTTTTCCCAGAGCTTTTTCCAGCGCGAGGTGGAAGATGAAGGTCAGAGGCTGAGGGAGCCACACCTGGAAGGGCACCTGGAACTCAGGTAAATCCCAGATTTCCCGGGAAATTCCAGGGTTTTTCCAGGGAAATCCCAAATGTCCGGCATTCCTGAGGGAAATTCCAGGATTTTTCCTGGAGCAGCCACAAATCCCTTCTTGAAATGTGGATTTGGAGCTGGAAAATGGGAAAAAAACACAGGAAAAATCCAAATTTTAGTGCCAAAATCTCATTTTTCTGTAGGATTTTTTAAATTTTTAATCCAAATAAAACCAGGGTGGATTTCCAGGATTTTGAGGAAATTCCCAACATTCCTGGGATTTTTTCCCTCAGAGTCGGGACCTGGAGCACAAAACCCTCCTCAAGATCTGGAAAAAATTAGAAAAATCCAAATTTTGGTGCCAAATCTTCATTTTTCTGTCAAATTTTCCTGATTTTTCTGGATCTGAATAATAGCAGGGTGGATTTCCAGGATTTTGGGCGGAAATTCCCAACAATTCCCAAGGATTTTCCCCCTCAGAGTCGGGACCTGGAGCACAAAACCCTCCTTGACATCTGGAAAAAGTGGGAAAAACTCCAATTTTGGTGCCAAAACCTCATTTTTCTGTAGGATTTTCTTGATTTTTCTGGATCCCAAGAAAACCAGGGTGGATTTCCAGGATTTTGAGGAAATTCCCAACATTCCTGGGATTTTTCCCCCTCAGAGTCGGGACCTGGAGCACAAATCCCTCCTCAAAATCTGGATTTGGGTCTGAAAAACGGGGGAAAAAAAAGGGAAAAATCCGAATTTTGGCGCCAAAACCTCATTTTTCTGTCGGATTTTCCTGATTTTTGTGGATGCCGATAATAGCAGGGTGGAATTCCAGGATTTTGGAGGAAACTCCCAACATTCCTGAGGTTTTTCCCCCTCAGAGTCAGGACCTGGAGCAAAAAAAAACCCTCCTCGAGATTTGGAAAAAGTGGGAAAAATCCAAATTTTGGTGCCAAAACCTCATTTTTCTGTCGGATTTTCCCGATTTTTGTGGATGCCGAGAATAGCAGGGTGGAATTCCAGGATTTGGAGGAAATTCCCAACAATTCCCAAGGATTTTTCTCTCAGGTCGGGCTCGGAGGCCGGGCGGGATCCATGGAGGAGCCGAGCGGGCTCTGACTCCGCGGCGTTTTCCGGGCAGAAATTCCATGGCAATGTATCCTACAAGGTACGGGCTGGGAGCCTCCCAAAATCCATTTGTCCCAAATTCTGCCCCTTTCCCAAATTCCTGCCCCTTTCCCAAATTCCTGCCCCTTTGTCCCAAATTCCTGTCCCTTTGTCCCAAATTCCTGTCCCTTTGTCCCAAATTCTGCCCCTTTGTCCCAAATTCTGCCCCTTTTCCCAAATTCCTGCCCCTTTTCCCAAATTCTGCCCCTTTTCCCAAATTCCTGCCCCTTTGTCCCAAATTCTGCCCCCTTTGTCCCAAATTCTGCCCCTTTGTCCCAAATTCCTGCCCCTTTTCCCAAATTTCTGTCCCCTTTGTCCCAAATTCTGCCCCTTTTCCCAAATTCCTGCCCCTTTTTTCCCAAATTTCTGTCTTTTTTCCTAAATTTCTGTCCCCTTTTTTCCCAAACTTCTGCCCCTTTTTTCCCAAACTTCTGCCCCTTTTTTCCCAAACTTCTGCCCCTTTTTTCCAAATTTCTGCCTCTTTTTTCCCAAACTTCTGCCCCTTTTTTCCCAATTTCTGCTCCTTTTTCCCAAATTTCTGCTCCTTTTTGCCCAATTTCTGCCCCTTTTTTCCCAAATTTCTGCCCCCTTTTCCCAAATTCCTGTTCCTTTTTTTTCCAATTCCTGCCCCTTTTCCCAAACTTCTGCCCCTTTTTTCCCAAACTTCTGCCCCTTTTTTCCCAATTTCTGCTCCTTTTTCCCAAATTTCTGCTCCTTTTTTCCCAAACTTCTGCCCCTTTTTTCCCAAATTCCTGTTCCTTTTTTTTCCAATTCCTGCCCCTTTTCCCAAACTTCTGCCCCTTTTTTCCCAAACTTCTGCCCCTTTTTGCCCAATTTCTGCTCCTTTTTTCCCAAATTTCTGCTCCTTTTTTCCCAAATTCCTGTTCCTTTTTTTCCAATTTCTGCCTCTTTTTTCCCAATTTCTGCCTATTCTTCCCCAAATTTCTGTCCCTTTTTTCCCAAATTTCAGTCCCAGCTGCCCAAACCCACCTCAGGTCCCTCAGGGTGGTCCCAATCCCCTGGGTGCCACCTCAGGGTGTTCCCAATCCCCTGGGTGCCACCTCAGGGTGGTCCCGACGCCCCTTGGTGCCACCTCAGGGTGTTCCCAATCCCCTGGGTGCCACCTCAGGGTGGTCCCAGCCCCCTGGGTGCCACCTGAGGTTCCTCAGGATGATCCCAAATCCACCTCAGGGTGTTCCCAATCCCTTGGGTGCCACCTCAGGGTGTTCCCAATCCCCTGGGTGCCACCTCAGGGTGGTCCCAGCCCCTGGGTGCCACCTCAGGGTGTTCCCAACCCCCTGGGTGCCACCTCAGGGTGGTCCCAGCCCCTGGGTGCCACCTCAGGGTGGTCCCAGCCCCTCTGGGTGCCACCTCAGGGTG